GTCTGGTGCGAATCGACGCGGGGGCGATGAGTGAGGCGTTCCATTCAGGAGAGAAAAAAACACACAGACACAATTAATCCTCGATCCCCCAGAAAATATAGGAAAATATGGGAAGTGGGGGGGAAGACAGAAACCCAGAAAATATGGGAAAATATGGGGGATATTTTTATTTGTGTGTATTTATTTGTGTGTTCCAGTTCCCCTTCAGGTGAGTGAGGCGTTCCATTTCTTTCGAGGGTCGAAGGGCTTGTCATCTCTTCCTCGGCGGACGGCGGCGGAAGGTCGGCGCAAGTAACACGAAGCCGCCTCCGCCGGCGGAGCCCGGCGGGAGCTCGGTTGGAGGCGGCGGAAATACAGGAGGTGCCCCCAGAAGATGAAGACATTGTTTGGTTCAGGGCTTACGGAGTTGGCCAAATCGGGGGGGTGGGGGAGGTGTCTTTTTCGGGCCCAGGATGCCGCTTCTGGGGCCTTACAGGAGGGCATTCAGGGGCCCCTTTTCGGAAGCCCTCGCTGACCCCTCACATATCGCCCCCCCGCTCATTCGCGCCCAGAGAGCTTGGTCATCTGGGGGAGGCACGCGTGGCCATCTCCTCTCGCTCTGTCTCACCCCCCCATCCCCTCTCGTTGCGAACACAAGCAAGCAGGACGTCGGCGGCCTGTTGCTGCTCGCTTCTCCCATGTTCGGCACCCGTGGGCCTTCGCTGAGCCCCACGACCGGCAGACAACGACTCGGGGTACGAAGCCGGTCCCACGAATGGTTCCACGCCTCAGCGGAAACAGGGTTAGGATCGGGATAAATTGCTCCAAAGCGTTCCGGAGCGCTCTCAGAGCGTTCTGGAACGCTCTGGAGCGGCCGCGGCGCCCAATACATTCTCCAAACCCGCCGATTCTCAGAGATTTCGAGTTATCCCGATCCGATTTTGTCCCGATCTTCGCGTCGTTTTAGCGGGGGTCCACGTCGTGAGCACGGCACGGCGTCGGAGTTCTGGGGCCACCGCCGTCCCAGGCCAGGGCCGTCCCGGGCCCTGGGGCGCTCCCCGGGCCCTCGGTGTCGGAGTCGGGGCGCTGCTGCACAGCAGCCCGAGGGCCCAGGGTCCAGAGCCCCACATCATCAGGGGTAACTCGGGTCAGGGCTAACTCGGGTTCCTTCTTCGGGAATCTAAACCCGAGCTACCCCGGACCCGAGTTGCCCCGGATGACTCGGGCGCCCAGAGCCCCACATCATCAGGGGTAACTCGGGTCAGGGCTAACTCGGGTTCCTTCTTCGGGAATCCAAACCCGAGCTACCCCGGACCCGAGTTGCCCCGGATGACTCGGGCGCCCAGAGCCCCACATCATCAGGGGTAACCGGGTCAGGGCTAACTCGGGTTCCTTCTTCGGGAATCCAAACCCGAGTTACCCCGGACCCGAGTTGCCCCGCTCGGGCGCCCAGAGCCCCACATCATCAGGGGTAACTCGGGTCAGGGCTAACTCGGGTTCCTTCTTCGGGAATCCAAACCCGAGTTACCCCGGACCCGAGTTGCCCCGGATGACTCGGGCGCCCAGAGCCCCACATCATCAGGGGTAACTCGGGTCAGGGCTAACTCGGGTTCCTTCTTCGGGAATCCAAACCCGAGTTACCCCGGACCCGAGTTACCCCGGATGAACTCGGGCGCCCAGAGCCCCACATCATCAGGGGTAACTCGGGTCAGGGTAACTCGGGTTCCTTTTTCGGGAATCCAAACCCGAGTTACCCCGGACCCGAGTTGCCCCGGATGACTCGGGCGCCCAGAGCCCCGAATCATCAGGGGTAACTCGGGTCAGGGCCAACTCGGGTTCGGTTTTTCGGGAATCCAAGCCCGAGTTGCCCCGGACCCGAGTTACCCCAGATAACTCGGGCGTCCAGAGCCCCGAATCATCAGGGGTAACTCGGGTCAGGGCCAACTCGGGTTCGTTTTTCTAGAATCCAAGCCCGAGTTACCCCGGACCCGAGTTGCCCCGGATGACTCGGGCGTCCAGAGACCCACTATCAGGGGTAACTCGGGTCAGGGGCTAACTCGGTCTCCTTCTTCGGGAATCCAAACCCTCGTTACCCCGGCTCCCCGAGTCCCCCCGGAGCATGACTTCGGGCGCCCAGACCCCCACACATCAGGGGTAACTCGGGTCAGGGCCAACTCGGGTTCGTTTTTCGGGAATCCAAGCCCGAGTTGCCCCGGACCCGAGTTGCCCCGGATGACTCGGGCGTCCAAAGCCCCGAATCATCAGGGTTAACCCGGGTCAGGGCTAACTCGGGTTCGTTTTTCTAGAATCCAAGCCCGAGTTACCCCGGACCCGAGTTACCCCGGATAACTCGGGCGTCCAGAGCCCCGAATCATCAGGGGTAACTCGGGTCAGGGCCAACTCGGGTTCGTTTCTCGGGAATCCAAGCCCGAGTTGCCCCGGACCCGAGTTGCCCCGGATGACTCGGGCGTCCACAGCCCCGAATCATCAGGGTTAACCCGGGTCAGGGCTAACTCGGGTTCGTTTTTCTAGAATCCAAGCCCGAGTTACCCCGGACCCGAGTTACCCCGGATAACTCGGGCGTCCAGAGCCCCGAATCATCAGGGGTAACTCGGGTCAGGGCCAACTCGGGTTCGGTTTTTCGGGAATCCAAGCCCGAGTTGCCCCGGACCCGAGTTACCCCAGATAACTCGGGCGTCCAGAGCCCCGAATCATCAGGGTACTCGGGTGCAGGGCTACTCGGGTTCGTTTTTCTAGAAATCCAATGCCCGATTTACCCCGGACCCGGGAGTTACCCCGGATAAACTCGGGCGTCCAGAGCCCCGAATCATCCGGGGTAACTCGGGTCAGGGCTGCTAACTTGGGTTCCTTCTTCGGGAATCCAAGCCCGAGTTACCCCGGACCCGAGTTACCCCAGATAACTCGGGCGTCCAGAGCCCCGAATCATCCGGGGTAATTCGGGTCAGGGCTGCTAACTCGGGTTCCTTTTTCGGGAATCCAAGCCCGACTTACCCCGGACCCGACTTACCCCGGATAGGTCGGGCGTCCAGAGCCCCGAATCATCAGGGGTAACTCGGGTCAGGGCTAACTCGGGTTCGTTTTTCGGGAATCCAAACCCGAGTTACCCCGGACCCGAGTTACCCCGGATAACTCGGGCATCCAGAGCCCCGAATCATCAGGGGTAACTCGGGTCAGGGCTAACTCGGGTTCGTTTTTCTAGAATCCAAGCCCGAGTTACCCCGGACCCGAGTTGCCCCGGATGACTCGGGCGTCCAGAGCCCCGAATCATCAGGGGTAACTCGGGTCAGGGCCAACTCGGGTTCGGTTTTTCGGGAATCCAAGCCCGAGTTGCCCCGGACCCGAGTTACCCCGGATAACTCGGGCATCCAGAGCCCCGAATCATCAGGGGTAACTCGGGTCAGGGCCAACTCGGGTTTGTTTTTTCGGGAATCCAAGCCCGAGTTACCCCGGACCCGAGTTACCCCGGATAACTCGGGCGTCCAGAGCCCCGAATCATCAGGGTTAACCCGGGTCAGGGCTAACTCGGGTTTGTTTTTTCGGGGATCCAAACCCGAGTTACCCCGGACCCGAGTTACCCCGGATAACTCGGGCGTCCAATATTCATGAGCGCTGCTGTGCTTGTTTTCGGCTATGTCTTGTGCTTCGCTCCGGCAGGGAGGCGCAGGACCACGGGCACAGAGAAGAACGAAGCACCAAACGAAACGCACAACGAACAAAACAACGTCCAGGGCCAGGCCCGACGGACACGAGCGTCGCCCCTCAAACTGTGCGTGCTACTCCTTCGCTGTTCGAGCAGACGCCTCCCGCGCTTCTCTGGGGCGCGCGTGCGCCCGACCTGGGTCGCCTGACCGGCGTCGGCGTGGCGCGGCTTCTGTTTGTCCTGTCCTGTCGAGTGCCCGAGCGAACGGAGAAGGTGTTGCAGTAGCCGTCCAGCAGCGCGAAGGTCACCGTGACTGTCTGTATGATTGAACAGTACAACTAGCAAGTGAATCAGCAGCTCTGGGAAGAACGGGCTCTTCCTCGAGATCTGCAGCAGCACCAACACTCACACCCAGCACTCACCAACACTCACTATACTGTCCTCCCTCTTCCCCTCCGCTCTCGCCCCCCCCCCCCCCTGCCCATCCTCGTGTACGACGGTCAACTGAGAGGAAGCATGTTGCCAAATAACTCCCGAATGTCCAGGACATGTTTTAAGCATGTCTTAGACAGGTAACAAACACCATGTTGTTCCACACATTTGTAGAGCAAGCTCAACATTGTCTAACAGCATTGTTTCACTCAGTGATAGGACTGTTAGGGATGTCGATTGTCATGGCATCCGCAACCCTTATCCCCCCCCTCCTCGGCGAGGTTTCGCGCCTCCCCCGCCCCCAATCCAGCCAGCTCCCCCAGCAGAAATCGTGCCGTTGAGAAACCGGAGTCGGGGGGGGGGGGGGGAGGCGCAGGGCGTACGCCTTCCGCGGACGCACCCCTTCTGGAGGATGGACGCCGCCCAGCGTGCGTGCCCCCGAGTCTGCTCGAGACTTGCTGGCCAGGAGACGAATCCATACAGTGTCTGGGGATGTGGGCCGCCATCTGGTGAAGGAGCCGAGATGAGGGCTTCTCGTGGCCCGGGAGCGGCCCCAGTGTTCGGGCCGTCATTCAGGCTCAGGTCGGGGGCACCTCGTCGTGACCGAGCCTTGCCGTGGCTGGGCATACGGTCCATGTTGTCCCGTGCGGGAGCGCTACGACCGAGCCCCTCCGTTATCTCCCCATTTCCATTCTTTCCTCCTTCCTTCTTCCTCCCCTTTCTCCGTTCCCCTCCTCCCCTCTCCCCTTGTCCCTCCTCATCCCTCATCTCCCCTCTTTCCCAGTTCTTTCTCCTCTTCCCTTCCTCCCCTTCCTCTCCTCCCTCCTTATCCCACCCCCTCCTCTTGCCCCTCTCCTCCTCTTCGCTGCCCCTGCCGCGTCGGCTCATGCTCCTCCTTCCACCGCGTGCTACGCCCCTGCTTCTCTCG